GATGCTCGAATGCGTTTTGGTAGTAGCAATGTTAGTGGACAATATGGTCGAACAATTGATGATATCTTTTCGGCGCAAGAATATCGTAATTGGGCATGTTTTGATACGGGAATTAGACCGGAGGAACGACAATCAAGATGGTCACATACATACGGTGAAAAACCTGGTGCATCAATTCGTAGCTCATCACTTCCATCAAGGGCTATGTTAACTGCTGTTAGTTGTATTTAAAATTTCAATAAATTTGATTTTTCGAAATTTTAAAGTGACGAGCTTTTGCACAAACTTTTTGAAAAATTTAATTCTTCAATTATATATTACAATATAAACAAATAGATTGCATGAAATATAACTTTTTTTGAAAATCTTTATGCTATTTAAAAAGAAAAAAAAAGAGTTTCTTTCTTTTTTTTTTTTTTGTTAAGGAATCAAAGATTATGTTTCTAGAAAGTTCAAATGGATTTTTCGACAAAGTTTTTCATTTTTATCTTTTTTTTTCAGACAAATAGATTTTCGCTTGGTCATGAACGTGGTGATGTATTAGATCGATTACATGTATCACCATTAATGAATAGACGGGTACCATTAAGGATAGCTGGACCAGGATTTGATGTTGATACTCCATTAGATGTTACTTCACTTACAGGAATTCTTATTGTACAGGTATTTATTTTAAATTAAAATTGTTAAGTGAAAAATTATTCTTTCTGTTGTGAAAAATTATTCTTTCTTTTGATTTAGAAGGTTTAGCCTTGAGTTAGGATCAAGCAGAATTTCAATTAAAGGTTTACCTTGTGAAGACGTCGAATATACGTTGTGAGGACATAGAATAAAATTTACCACTTTATTGATATAATACAGAGTTGATCAGTGGGATTATTGAAGAATAACGAGTAGAAAAATCGCTTGACCGTGAGTCAAAAGCTGTTGTAAGTAAGAATACTACGGAAGAGCACTAGTCCAGGAAAACCTTTTTACAAAAGGGTTTATGTATATAAAGAAGTAGGAATGGTTTACATAAAAACGTTAAAAGAGGGTATTCATTTAGATACAAAGGAAACTGTAAAGATTCAATTACATAATAAGCAACAAGATCAGATGGGAAGGTTAGCATGTAAATTGG